GCTTCGTTATCAAAATTAATTTACAGTGAGATTAAAAATTACTTGATCAGTCTATTTCTTTATTCTAACAATGAATAAAATAATATTTTAACTTAGTTTGTTGTAAATTATTTTGAATAATTTTATGACATAATTAAATTAAATCATATATTAATAATTAAAAATAAAAAAATATATAATTAACTTTATTATTTTTTCCCAAAGAATTTATATAAATGAACATGATAGGTCTTAGTCCTTCTAGACGTTTTCCCCTCACAATTAAACATGTCACATCATAACACCTGTCGAATCTTTTGGAACAAATTATTATGTTCACAAAATATAAATAATTTATTAACATATTAATATATATGTCAGACAAGACTGTTTTTATAAGAAACGTTACACGATTTTTACGCTTAAATCTCACAGCAATACATTGTGAAGGTAACATTCATTCACGGTGTTCTTGCTGTGAAGATTCAACTTTTTTTTTATCTTCACAACATTTGGTTGTAAAGTTTTAAGTGTAAAATTGATATCTCACGAAGATAGTCTTGTTTCACGTGTTGAAATCTCACAGCAATACACTGTGAAGCTAACATTCATTCACAGTATTCTTGCTGTGAAGATTCGGTTTTCTTTTATCTTTACAACATTTTGTTGTGAAATTTCAAGTGTAAAAATCGTGTCTTACGAAAACAGTCTTGTTTCACGTAAACCCAACTCCATATTAATATGTTAATGTTAATTTATTTTAGATTTCAATACTATTTGTTAACATTTCTACGAGATTTTGATTTTCTTTAAGTAATTTGAATTCATTTTTTGTAATTGGTAAAACCTTACTCGATAAGTGCTTACTGGGTAATTTTCCTTTCCGGATGAATACGGCAAGGGTAAAAAATCTTACCCCGTAAGAGCAATAATAAAGATGAAGAATCTTACTCGGTAAATGATGGTGACGACTCTTACTAGTTAAATTATTGCATACGATACCCTTTTGATGTACTACAATCTTACATGGTAAAATAAAATTACATTGTTGACTCTTAACAGTAAACGCTTACTGAATAAACATTTAAGTAAACAACCTCTTACTCTTTTACCTTTATAATAAACGACATAACTTGATTTTGACATAAAAAAAATACCACCCTTTGCAAATACATGTATTATTTAAGACTTCAAGGTTAGAGTCATTACTTTTGACAAAGAAAAGTCAAATGAGAAAGTCAATAAAGTAATTTGTTATTTTAAAAAATTATTATTTTTAAAACAAGTGGTTTATTACTTTTAATATTTAAAAATAATAATAATTTCAGACATGTGAAATCTTCTCAAAATGTGTTTGTCGTTTCTGCAAAAGCATTTCAAACGTTTGAATTTGTCATTTTATTCATGTCTTCGGTATTAGAAAAAAAAACCCTTAACTGATACAGGTTCAGTTAGAGTCCAATGTGTTGATGTTTTTCGCTCCAAATTGGATCACAGATGATTTTGTGCATCTCCATAGTAGGTTATGCTCAAACCAAGGGGAGTAATTAATCCACTCTAAGTGGCTGTTTGGCAGTTGTTTAATGATTTTTGCAGAATGATTAAGTGATCAGAATGATTAAAAGGCTCTCATTATATAGTTCAAAATGAAATATAATTGTTTGGTAACTATTTACAATGAAATTAAGGCGCTAAATGGTTAAAGGAGGCCTAATATACAAAATCATTCAGAGGGAGGATTTCAGAACCATTAAGAGGCGGACTCTTTTTTTGCCAAACAAGATTCACCTCGTAACGATTCAGAGTCTGTCTCTTAATAGAACTATTAAGAGGTAAACAAACAACCCCTAATTAATTAGAGCAAACAGATCTTTAATGCATAGATTGATACTTAGGTGAGATTTAGGTAGGGATGTTTGAAATGACGTAATTATATGAAGTTTCTGATATTATTTAACATCTTAAAATCTGAAATAAAACGATTATTTTATTATTTTTATGACACATTAAATAAAGAATAAATTCATTTCTAGATGTCGACGCTTGATTGTCAATAATGACAACCTAAGATTTAACATCAATAACTAATAAACCAAATATTACATAAAGTTTAGATTATGGATGACTGTTACTAAAACTCAATAGTAGTTGTTATCTCCATAATATTGGAAAACATTCTTAAATAACTAAATTCTTCTCGTGTATCTAACTAGCACTCAACTCTTCACAGTGTCGCTATATTACATTCCACAATAAGGACATGATGCACATGTTGACAAAGAAAAAAGTTAGGGTTAACGCCTACTGTATTAAAAATTTTCATCTTTAATAAAACGGTAAAATTGAAAGAATGTTATTTAAATCACAATTTCCCTAAATGAAATGTTTTTACCATAAAAGCAGCATTTTTTTCAAAATCAACCATTTTTATGATGATAACTTATAATCCAAGCATCCATTTTAGTATGGAACCAAATCCCGGTACTCACACAGAACATGAATAAAACTTGATATTTAAATATCGGAAACGTGGATAAAACTCAAGTATCCATAAAAACAAAATATAATAATATACAACATCCAAAACCTCAAATCATGGGTACATTCTGTACCTGAAACAACACTGAAAACGTGGATAAAATGTCATATCCAAAACACATCTTTCGGTGACGGGAGAGACCAGTTTCTATTGAATGTGACAGAATACGAAAACCAGTAAGCCACATATCTTTGTTAATGAGCGCCACTAGGAATCGATGATCACCAAGTTCAACATTCCTGGTATATACTTTGCATGGGACTTCCGATGATCCTAGATATGCTCATTCACTAGCAATTACACTGTATGATTCATGGCTGATGTTCGACTCCGTGAGCCGGCACCACAATGCCCCAATGTCTATTTCTTAGCTACTACACGGGAATAATTATCCCATTTTAAACCAACAAACCGTCTCATATGCTTATGGATCAAAAGCATTAAGATCTAAATTGCATGACTCCAATTGAATGACCAACGAATTCAAAACATGTAATTTCCAAATATATATGCAATAAATGCGAATCACTTCCAAAGCTCAACAGTGAACGAATATAAACTGGACAAATGTCCCAAATCTCATTTGAGTTAAAATCAACCCAATAAACTCCACAACTCACTTGACTATACAAAAAATCAATATGAACCAACGGAATATCAATACCCTATATTTATACAATTTACGTCCTAAAAAGTTTGAATATTTTTTTTTATCATCAACCCAATGGTCGGGTGAAATCCCAAACATGCATCCGAAGAGATAATAAATCTCGTAACCCAAAGTACCATAATATCTAACAAAACTCAAATAATGCAACAAAATACATCATGGCTTCAAAGAATTAGGTCGTCCGACCCCACTGCCTTGGGTGCGTAGCGATGCAACTTAGACCGGCCAACCAGTCCCCCATATTCCATACCATTTTGTGATCTATTGCCTTGGGCATGTTTTCCAACGAATTAGGTCGTCCGAAAAGTTGCTCAGACCCCAGAGGGTCCCCATATCATCTAATTTTGATTTCACTTCAACTTGAAACATACTAAGACTGAATATTTACAACCAGACATTATTTTTCCCGAAATAAAGATCCAACCAATTGTGAAATCCCAAAACTATTTTAAACAAGAACACTGATGTAACATATCATTTATTACGAATGAGTCCAAAAGATGTATGCGGTTCGCTTAAATGGCGTGCACAACTCATACCTAATTTAATCATACAAACTTCTATTGAAGGGACGGTTAGACGACCCCATAAGTTTAAAAAAAGATTACACAATAAATTTTATTTAATTATTTTATTTTCATAAAAAAATAGTCTAACCTTAATTAAATATTAGTCCAAATTCAGATCCATTTTCTTTCAAGAATATAAACTGTTTTTTTATTTCTATATTCTTTTCATTTAATTTTACGTTTATATTAAGTAATTTCTGTTTTTTAAGAAAATTGACTCAAATAATCATTTTCCATACGAAAATTGGTCTGCTAATCATTTCTCTCCCGAGTTTTACTCAAATGTCACTACTTCTATAATATCTAGATCATATCCGTAATATTATCTAGATCCACAATATTAGCTAAAAGGCAAAAAAAAAAAAACAAATTCACCAAAAATATGCAAACGGCCAGGTCTGCAATTGCAACGATTAACTGATTGAATTTGATTTTTTTTTGTCTTTTAGCTAATATTACGAACCTAACTAATATTACGGAAGCAGTAACATTTAGGTGAACCCAAAAAAGATATGATCAAGAGTAATTTAAATGTGCGAAATAATCATTTTGATTCAATTTCTTACGTGATAATACTTCAAGATCTGTAAATTATTTTCTTGTTATTATTAGAGGAATTGACGTGTGGTTTTGCATTATTGCAATGTCGTAGTCATAAATCGATTTTATATCACAAATAAATTGTTTTTTCTTTGCAAAGATATAATTATAAATAAATATAAAACACATTTTATTTATTTAAAAAAAAAATTTATTGATCTAATTTATATATGCCTACATTAATGTCAAAATCCCAAAAAACAAATTTTGTGATTATCGAACAAGTGATCTTTGATTTTTTTTTTCAAAAATCGAACGTTTTTTACAGTCTCTAAAGGGCAGTTTACTAAACACTTACTTGGTAAATACTTACCGGATAAATTTTCTTATCAGATGAACATAAAAAGGGTCAAAAATCTTACCGGGTAAGAGCAATGAAAAAGATAAAGAATCTTATCCGGTAATTAAGGATGACGACTCTTATCCAGGTAAGCACTTTTCCAATATCAAAATAAATTATAATATTAAATTCTATTAATAAGCACTTACCGGATATACATGAGTAAACGTCTCCTAAATATATAAATAATATTTTATTTTGATGTTATTTGGATAGGGTTGCCAGTCAAACTTGACCAAGATTGGCCTTCTATTTATAACACTCCCTGCTCCCTAACAAGACACTGAACATGACCAAAAAATTATGGAGGAAGATGATAACGCCCGACCCGAATCCATTCCGCACGAACTCGTATCCGAAATCCTCACACGACTTCCCGTCAAATCTTTGACCCGATTCCGCTCCGTCTCTACCCGATGGAACTTCACCATCACCAACGCCTCGTTCGCCAAGTCCCACTTCTCCCGCTCCGCCGCAGCCCGCGGTGCTTCCATTACCCTCATACTCACCTTCATCAACAGGTTCAGTTCCCAACGTTCCATCTTCTCCGTCACAATTCCTCCCAACCAAACCCGATCAGCACCAAACCCGACTCACATCCTCACCATCCCCGGGTTTGCCCACCCGTTTGTCTCGCAGTCGCTCAATGGGTTGATCTGCTTCAATCTAGGAGCTATGTGTGTTTGCAATCCTTCTACTCGTAAATTCCTGAAGCTTCCTTGGACGCAAATGGAGACTCCTTCGCCGTCTCCGGCGTCCGCACATCACCGGTCAAACGCGTTTGGGTTTGATCCGGTTTCGAATGCACACAAGGTGCTCGACACTTGGATTACATGCCACGGGAACGAGATGATGATGGAGCACAGAGTATTCACCGTCGGATGCAGTTCCAACAAGTGGCGGAGAATCGCCGACGGCCCGCCGTACTTCCCTTTCAACGAGCGTGTCTGTATAAACGGCCAGATCTACTTCAGGGCTTTCCCTTGTATGATAGCTTCAGAAAAAACCGTAATGGTGGCTTTTGACGTCAATCGTGAAGAATTCCGATTCATTCAGATGCGCGATGATACGATTTCCAATTCGGAAGACGCCGTTCTGATGGAACACGATGGTCATTTGGCCATAGTCGACCATCAAGGTCTTAGAAACGGTGAAGATAACGTGATGCTGATGTGGGTATTGATGGACGAGGAAGATGAGAAATGGGTGAAGAAGCGTGTGGAGATTCCGGCGATATACAGTGAGATAAACGATCGTCGGAGATTTAAATTTGCCGGGACTACATTTTCCGGCGAGATGATATTTGCAGAGAGAAGATTAGGGAAGCCATTCTATGTGGTTTTGTATGATATCAAGAAGAATGAAGGCAGGAAGGTGGAGATTTGTGGACTAACGGATTTTGAGTCCACTTACAGTAATGTTCTAATGAATGTTATCAGTGTTAACGAACATGCAGAAAGCACTATTTCATTAACTTAGATAGAGGTCATGTCTTTATACATCTCTCGAGAGATCTGTTTTAACATATCAGGATTTAGTATTGGTTTGGCTTTTTTTCCGATCAAGAAATCTCAGGTACAACTTTTATTGCATGACATACAAGGCATTATATTCCGGTGTGGAAGGTGCATTATCTATTTGTACTGTACAACTCGACAACGCATAATGAGAAGAACAATCGAGTTAGAATGTAATGAAAGAAGTTGTTGAAAATGCCTAGGCTCCAACGGTACTTTGAGGCCGCTTTTGTTTCTTCTTGGAAATCTTCTTCTCGACCACGGGTCCATCTTCGGATTCCGACACGATTTCAATCTTAGCGAAGATGGGGTTTGGCAGAGCCATGACCTGACCACCTTTTAGGCCGCCCCATTTTGTATCGTTCTGCATTTTGAAACATTTTCGAGCACATTAGTTGCATACATACAAGTACAACCCCAAAACCATACCAGCACAACCCATTTACCTCTTGGCTTGTTCAAGTAGGATAATCCAATACATAGATATAGAGATAGAGATGTCCAACCAAGTGGGTCTGAACTCTGGGACCGATGTAGATTACTAAAAGGCTGACAGGCTAGCGACTTTTTGAAGTTGGAGCGGTTACTAGGGCCCGGCCAAAGACTTTATGATTTTGACCATTTCATGGGACGGGACAAAACTAATCGAGTTCTTGTCCCTATCTCATGTCGCGCCAAACGTGAGACGGTGAGTTCTTGTTCTGTTCCATGTTGCGCCAAACATGGGACAGTGAGTTTTGTCCCGTCCTATGTACCAAGTGCAGGCCCAGTTTTGTCCACCTCTACATAGAGACTCTTAGTTTCAATCTCATCCTCAAACATAGTGATCGGAAGCAAAAGTTTTCTCTCTTTTTAGCAGTTTTCTGGTTCTTTTTATAAAGTAAACACAAAGACAAGAGAGCAAGAATACCCAGGTGGCAGCATTGAACTGTTCTTCGGTGTACCCAAGTTGTTGATAAATTCTGAGACATAATTTTGGTGCGACTGGCGACAACGCAATCGCAATAATCCTCATTGCTTCTAATACAACTACGAGGTCCTGGTTCACGACAACAGATGAGAATACAGAAATGCACAAAATTCACACTTTTCACGCACTAGTTTTTAGCTTCAAAATCAACATGTATCTTTGGCCGTTAATGTGAAAGTAGTAATAGCTTCGCATTTGGAAAATAATAGATTCGGCCACAAAAATCAACATGATGAAGATTAAACAGAGACAGAGAGTTGAAAGACCTTTGCAGCTGAATCAAAAGACGTGCCTCCTTGTTTAAAAAGAGACCATGGTGCATGTTCATCAATGTACAGATTGCCAGCATTGCCGATCTCCAGCACAGTCTCACAAGCTGACGATAGCAAGAGACTTTCATACTGAACCTTTGCCTTTTCAACCTACACGAAGAAAAGTGTTCTGTTTAAACCATGTAAAGCCAAACAAACCTAGTATATCCAACCCGCAGGTAGGGCCTGGGACTAGAGGGTAAAGATGTCTCCGACGCAACTCTCCCGGAGAAATCCAATACAAGAATGAAAGAAACAAGTTCTTAAAAAAACTTGTCCTGTTGCAGTTTAATATGGTGTCAAACGTGGGACCACAAGTCTTTGTTCTATCGTGTCCCGTATACCAAACTCACCCTTAATGAACTAAATAAGTAGTTTTAACGATATCCATTACTTCCTCTCCCACAAGAATTGCAAAAAATTTCAATATTGGAACATCATTAAAACCGCAACATTTCCTTGAAAGTTTCAAGCTAACATTGCCTATTTGTCCATAGTGATCATGACAAAGAATCTTACCAGCTTCTCTACACTGTCCTTGAAGGCATTTCCTTCGGCTGCAATACTCGAATCAGCAACCAAAGTTGATTGGCAGTTTTTTTTCAAAAGTCCAAGGGTTCGATTAAGGAGATTGCCTACATGAGACAGCTAATAATCAAACTCGCACAATATTTCAGTTTTAAGAGCAAAAAAAGCGTTGAAGAGAGAAAAAGCTAAGAATGTACCAATGGTATTGGCGAGATGTGCATTGACAATATTGATGAAGCGCTCCTCAGAGTAATCCCCATCGTTTCCAAATTCAACCTCTCTTAGGAAAAAATACCTGACAGCATCAGGCCCGAATCTGTGTACTAACTCGTTTGGTTCAAGAGTATTCCCAAGTGACTTTCCCATCTTCATACCGTCCTAAAATTTTACAAATAAAAAGCATTGCTGCATGAAATGAAAGTTTGTATACGGGCATAAGTGTTCATTCCATGTTTTAAAACCCATGAAAGTTGTACAAAATCAAATCTTGGAAGTATGTGAATTATTACCAGATTCCATTATACGAGTAAACAAAACCAAACCAAATAAACCCAACATATCCTGTTAGAACACAGTCCTCACCTCTACCCCAAAAGGGTAGAACGGTTGTTTCTGTGAAGACCCTCGGCCTGCCCAAACTGTGAGCAGATTCCATTATATGAGTATGGTCTTGAATGGCATTTAAGCGCATGTAGGGGTGATTCTGAGTGGAGCTGAGCCCAAGCTTGCCACACTCAAAGCTCAATGACTTTCATGTGCTCATCAGGCATGGCTTGTGGCTTGCCGAGCTGAAGCCTGAAAGGATTTAGGCTTGCGCTGACTTGGCAAAAGCTCCAGCCTATGCTCAGCTTGTATGTATCTTTGAAAAATGTGACCCCAAGAGGGTAAGACGAGCGGGTTAAGAAATATAAATCACACTAAGGGATTGTATATGCTCGGAACGCTCAGCTCATTTAGGCTCAGCAAACTATTAATCCCAACCTTTTAAGACAAAAGACCAAACAGTTTCACTGACTTGACAGAGAACAAGTACTCTTTAACTTCCATATACTCCCTCCGTGGCTCTGTTCCGAAATAAGTGTTCACAATAATAAAAAGAAGCAAATAGTTCTAGAAATGTATAATTATTACACTTTTGATTAACTATATGATGGTGTTTTACCCTTAATAATAGAGCATACAGTTTTAGAAATGTATAATCAATCCACTAACGAATTCTCTATCTCAATCAACTCTTGAATATTCGTGAATCATAATCACGGTAGAATTGAAAACTTAAGTAAATTATAACTACAATTTATGAAAGGAGACACCTATTTTGGGACAAACGTTGATAGAAACATGGACACTTGTTTGGGATGGAGGGAGTAGTAAAGTAGATACCTTTGTCAGGAATCCATGGCCAAAGACAGTCTTGGGAAGGCTTAGTCCAGCCGACATTAACATAGCCGGCCAATAAACTGCATGAAAACGCAATATATCCTGCAGAAAATGATAAAAAGCAAACATTAGATAGTATAATATTTACATACGGCGAATTAAACTCACATACACTCATCACCTTTGGCAAGGCTTGAACCCTTGACCTCAAGAAGGTTGGGTTCCTAGTTACTGCTAGGCCAACGTCCCTTTGGTAATTAGGTAATAGATTCAAATATCATGCAAATCACAGATTTTGCCTAAACAAGTTCATGATTCCATTATGTATATAACATCTTGTAAATCAAACAAGACATGACCAAATATTGACTCAAAAAGAGCATGTAAATGTTGAATGAGAGCCTAAAGTTAGTTTCACGTGGCATAAAAACCTAAGAAAAAGGTAACAAATGATTTGTTACAATCTAAAACTTTGAACCGATTAAAAATTTCCATTTCTATGAAGGATCTCTCATGCTTCCTTGAAGAGGCAAGTAACATGAAACAAAACAAATTCGATTGAGAATATGAAACTATGAGGCCGTCATACCTTGCCGATCAAGTGCAGGGAAGCAGGCCAACCAGAGGAAATTGCAGTTTGTAAACTAGGTTGATCCTGGTCCTCTGACAATGCTGATATATAACTGCATAATGGATACCAATGAGAGAGAAAGAAGCTTTGCCAATCATGCTTAAGAATAACAAGAAAGAGTGCTCAATCCATGCCATGAAAATTGCAGTGCTTGACTTGGCATGTAGTTGAAGAAACTTGTTTAATCATATGTCAAATATCTAGATACATTTTAGTAGAGACCAAATAAAGGAATCTTGTGGACCAAAATCTGTACCATCAATTCATTTCTAATGATGATAATGGCCAAATAGGTTCAAAATGAACACTTCCCAAAAAAATTGTTGCGGTTTTCTTGAAAAGGAGAGTAGTAAAAGAAGATCCCCATTTTGAAAGGTGTATGAGAACGTAAATGCATAAGAAAAAAAGAAACTTTACCCGAGCAATGCATCAAACCACACATATATGGTTTGCTTTGGGTCGTTAGGAACTCTAATGCCCCAATCCACTGATGCTCGGGAAATAGAGAAATCTCTGAGCCCAGTTTTCATCCAATTTTGAACCTAAACAAGTTTATGCATCAGAAATGCAGCATCGTAAGTCAGCTGAAGTGTTGACACAATGCAGTATGATGACAATGGCTTACTTTTGTATGTTTGCTTTTTAACACATAAAGAAACAAGTCCAGAGTCATTAAGGAATATATTAAAGAGCTTACAGTTAAGTCACAACTCAATAAGTCAATATGATAATAAAGAACAAAGTCAATGAACTCTTGGGAAACAATTATTCTTTATGATGTGTGTGTGTTACATGAAGCAATAACATCTCTTTTCAATCCGGTATAAAAACCTTGGTCCAAATTATGACATTTCATAAGGTGACAATGACATAAGTCAATAAACAATTATCTCACCTCATTTAAACGATACACTGGTTGTACAAAGTCTGGATTATGCTCTAAAATCTCTTCTAACTTTTTCTGATACTTTGACAAGGCAAAGAAGTAATTGTCTTCTTTCCTTTTGAGACATGGCTTCAGGTGCATTGGACAACAATTGTTTTCGAGCAATTCTTTCTCATCCTGTAGGTGTTTCAAAGGTAAGGATTCCACAAAACCACGTATGTCCTTGAAAATTTATCAAGGTATCGAGTATCTACTCGCTCCATTCCAAAATAAGTGTCCACATTTCTATTTCAGTTTGTCCCAGAAATAAGTGTCCACTTTAAAAAATAAGTGCCTACTTTCCAATTCGACTCTTAATTGTGAGATGGAAAAATTCATCACCATTTTTATTATTAATGGTAAGTTGTCATTTAGTGCATTTTTAAAACTGTGCCTTTTCATTGCGAACATTTATTTTGGGACGGAGGAAGTATTGTTTTACCGGTGTACAAGAGAGAGATTGTATCCAATAAAGACTAGTATCCACAAGCTCAAGGTATTTACCTTATACTCCTCACAATTGACACAATACAGTCCTTCATAATCAGCTTGATATATATCACCATTGGCAAGAACCTTTGAATAGAACTCTTCCACAATAGCTTCATGCTTAGGATCAGTCGTGCGGATGAACTTATCATAAGATATATCTAACTGAAATTCAAATGTAAGAAAGCAAAAAACAAGATTATGAATGAAAATCCAAGAATATGTTAGGTAACAAGGAAAAGATTTATCAGTAACAAGATTTACATCTTTCCACAGTTCCCTATAAGATTGTGAAATTGCATCACAGTGGCCTTTTGGAAGGGAGCCACCTGCAGCGGCAGCAGTAGCTATTTTCTCTCCATGCTCATCTGTGCCGGTGATGAATATAACCTTCTTTCCAATAAGCCTCTGACATTAGAAACAAACTTTAGAATAAACGAATGCCAATGTCAACATAATCCGGGATGGCCGCAATGTCCACTAAACCTGGATTTAATCAGATAAAATTTGAAGGATTTTGCAATCTCATTGATCAGGGTTTGCCAAAAGAACTTTCTATGTTTCCAAAAGTTGCCAATACAAATCAAGAATATCTATCTACATTTTGACTTGGGAAATCAATTTGCAAAGGTCTAAAATTTATAATCAATCAGCTTACGTATATCTCCAAGTATTTCTATATACTATATGAATCCGTATTTAGATTTTAGGGTTCCAAAAAGTTGTGAAATTGAGATAATAACTCTTATAAGACGGAAACAAAGTGAATTAAGGACAAATTAGATTAGAAAGGCATATAGTAAGAAAAATCGCAACACGAACTTGTAAATATATTACAGAATCAACCAAGCAGATAGAATTATCCGAGAAGTTAGTATAAAATGACAAACCTGAAATCGAGCAATAGCATCGGCGGCAATGGTGGAGTATGCACTGCCCATGTGAGGAGGAGCATTGACGTAATAAAGAGGAGTGGTGAGGACAAAGGGGTCGTCTTTTGTGGTGACGGGTGCTGAGTTGAAGGCGTTAGAACTAGAAGTATTACTGCAAGTGCAGTATAAGGAAGCTGCTGATCTTTTGGAAGAAGAAGAAGAAGAGAACCATTTCGAACGGAAATCGATTTGGATGGAATTCGAAAAAGATGATGAGAAGATGAAAGTGGTGAGACTGTTTGTTTGAAATTGAAGGGAGTGTTGCAGCCTTGCCGCCATATCCTCACTCCTGAAAGAACTGAATGGTGGCTTTGGGGATAGGGCGGGGTTTAGTTTCGACTGAATGAATAGCACAAGCGACGTCAGCAAAAAGGGAACAAAGGAGGTGTTTAATTTGGAGGGTTTAACTTCTTCAAAAACTCTTTATTACTGATTTGACATCAGTATAGGTTATTTATCCAAACATTTAAAAGTCCTTATTACCGGTACCACATCGAATAAGTCAATGAATTTTTTTTATAAGCAATTCCAAACACCCTCAAAGAATAATGTCAACATGATAGAAATCCATCGAAAATAGTCATTTCTATTTATATAGAAAGTTATAATAAAGTTTTTATTTTATTTTACAAAATTATAGTATGCTTTTTATTAGAGTAAATTATGATTTTGGTTTTTGAGATTTAGTAAAAAGTCTAAAAGTGAGACCTGAACTTTAATAAATCTATAAATCATTCTTTTGGTTTTCATTTTGCTCTAAAAATGGTCCTTCATCACTAACTTCGTTAAAAATATCTGTTAGAGTTAGGGAAAATCTTGTCATTTTACTGATTTCCCTAATTTTATCTTAAAACCCCAATAAAAATATATAATATTTTTTATATAAAATTTAATTAGTATTATATTACATATTATAAAATACTTTTTGCTTTTATACTTGATGAACTCGTCCTCTCCACCCGATTTGCAAGTTCTGGTCATCCTTTCTGTTGTCACCAACACCATAAAACCACCCTCCTCTAGTCCTCTCCACTGTCCCACTTGCACCTGCATCGATCACTTCCTTCTTTTCTGCATCTTTTTACTTCTTTGTTGATCATCTCTTAGTGATTTGATGATGATCCTTTTACCTTACAAAGTTTATTATCTATGTATTCAGTTTTAATGATCAGCGCTGAGTCTGTTAAGTAATCCCTGAACATGTATTGTAATTTCTTCAGAGATCAGTATCGTTTAGGAAGACAAAACTCACACCACATATGATTCAACAATATCGAAGATAGAAGCTGAAAATAGAGACTAACAAGTTCGTGATCTGAAGCGGTTTTCAGTGATAACAAGTTCGTCTACAAAGAGTGTGAAATCTACGCAAGATTCAGCAAACACTGACGAGACCTTCAACGTCATTCCAGTGTTAGCGATCAAATAAATCTTGTTGAACAAAATTAGTTTTTGTTTTGTCCTTTTGCACATGAGGGACAAACCCATACCTTTCAAAGTAAATTACAGTATGGAGTCTCTATAATGTCTCCATGTATGCTTACCTACTTTATGAAATAAGACTATTCATATACGACCGAAAGTCTGTATATCTGCAACAAAGGACAAACTCACCTCTTTAAACTTGTCACGTGCTTTTGCACCCTCTGGTTTGCATCTAATGCAATGAGTATAAATAGTTAAGAAGCTCTCTCTTCTCATCAGTCTTCATCTTCTCTATCTGAGGACTTCCACTCTAACAAGTGAAGAGCACAAGACATTCTTAACATATCTCTTGTAGCAAGTCTTTTCTTTATTGCTATTTGTAATCTCTGTGTTTCTTTGATTGTTTAGATAAGTTTTGTATTTTATCTTTTCCGCAAACAATCTATAAAAATTTGCACTGATCTTCTTTATCAATATAAGTTTTTTTTTTTTAAAAAGTAAAAGTTGTTGTGTTCGTGAACTGTTCTGCTCGATGGGTAGCCTTGGAGAAGACTTCGGTTAGTATCGATGTGGATAAGAAGATTGTGTACTATGTGGGCCTTGAAGATCTGAATTGGGCTTGGACTACCAAAATGGGCCAAAATGATTGAGATGGTGATGGGCTTTATCAAGATGGGCCAAAATGTTGAGCTTGTCTATTTGGGCTGGTTGGTCTTTTTATGCTACTTTGGTTAGAAGTATTAGGCCCTTACTTGGTGTGTTCCCTAAACATTTTCTAGGGATGCATTATTTTTCCCTTCTTCTTGGGGTATGCCCCTCGTAGTTGTATCTTTTTTGTTCTTTGAATAAATTTTTTCCATGGTCCGTCCCCTTTACCCCCCAAAAAAAAACCACCCCCTCATCTATATAAACACACAATTTGAGCACACTTTCCCTCACCAGCCTCTTCCTTCGGCCAAAGCAAACATAGTTTTATATGATTGTATCCCTCATGACTTCTTTAACCATGGATTCGATTACTACCAGACACGACAAGACCAAAAGCAAACAATCATTTTCATTTTATCCACCGTAACGATGGCTACACACAAGGACAAAATTTTGGCTTCGTCAGAGCTGGATGTTTCCTCATCGAAATCTCCGATTTTGTACAAAACGTGAATCCTTCACTCTCCCTTTCCATCTGATGATGTAAAAACCCACATACATCATAGGCCAAATTTACAATTCACAGGGACGATGATATAATATGTCAATATAATATTTGATTTGATTTAATTTGTAAATTAAAATTAATAAAAAGGGTGAAAACACATAAATACCCTTCTCTCTAATGAATTCTTTTAAGAGAGTTAGTGAACCAGGACCATTTTTGGAGCAAAATGCAAACGACAATAACAAATTTTAAACTTATCAAAGCTCAGGTCCCATTTTCAAACTTTTCACTAAACTTTAAGGACCAAAATTGAAATTTACTCTTTTTGTCACATAACAAAAATTCAAAGTATTGTATTATCGCACAAAACATGTGGTATAATTTTTTTAAACATATATCATATCTTTTAAAATAGGTTACTTTAAACAAGGAACTAAAACAAAATATGATCCGCTTTAATATGTTATGATACAATTTCTCATTAATATCATTTAATCAAATAATATATTAAAATGTAACGTAATTTGTTCAGATTTTTATTTTTTATATACTACTTTTAAAACAATCATATAATACTTAAAATGTAACATCTCTACATGAAATGCAACGTATTTTAATCTGATTTTTTTTTTGATTAACCTGGATATCCAACTTGCTATGCGAGCCGACTAATCTAAAGACGATCACCTGCTTTGTAGATAGCCTATAGTCACCGCATTTGAACCTCCATGGCCACAAGAGGATTTTATTCCTCATTGGATTTGAACCTGAGACCTCCTGATACTTTTAACATTTGGAGCCAAACTCAAACCAATTAGGCACCACCATTGTGGTTATCTGATTCTTATTTTATGAATATTTTGATTTAAACATTTAAAATATGACAACCGAGTAACTAAAATAAGGTTTGAAAACCACAAGGATGGTGCCTGATAGGTTTGAGTTTGGGCTCCAAATGTCACAAGTGCATGGAGGTCTCAGGTTTAAATCCAAAAAGAAATATAAATCCCCTTGGTTGTCCTGAAATTAGTCGATTCACATAACATGCTGGATAAACAGGTTAATAAGAGCTACATTCTAGTCCTAACTTTTGTAGTTCCGCGCATTTAAAGGAAATGTCTTTGATGATTGTTACAACATTGTGGCTGTAGTTTAGTGGTAAGAATTCCACGTTGTGGCCGTGGAGACCTGGGCTCGAATCCCAGCAGCCACACAATAATTTTTTTTTGAAGCTTCAATTTTCATGGGGCTGAAAATGCGTATTTAACCCAATTTTTGAACTCGATCAGTATTCCATCTCCTTCTTGAACACTTCGTCTTTCACAGCACAACTAATTGGCGTCCAAGGTATGCGATTTCTTCCTATTTCTGTGCAAATTTGTATGTATGTATTGGTTATTTTGCTTTTAGTTTTCAATTTTTGATTTTCTCAAGTTTTGTAGTAAATGGAGAAGTGTTTGGCTTGGAGATCGAAACCTATTTGTTAGTTGTTATTATTAGGGGACCTGTTTCTCTTATGTGATATTGAAAATCGATCAGATTTTGCAGTTAATTTCGTTATTACCTGCATTTAGTTTCTAGATCCAGAACTTTTGAAACCTTTTGTTTTCCGTTAGTCCGACTTAGCGTGTGTTTCTTTCTGATGATTGATTTGAAAGAAGATGGAGGCATGGAGCATAGAATTAGACTCCTACGATAATTGTTAGGGTTCAATTGTTCTTAGATGATCTTAAAAGTTGACTTCGTCGTCGTTTGCACTTGGTTTCTAGATCCAAATTGAGTTATTTGGTTTTCTGTATATAAGAGAGTGTGTTTGTGTTTAATGATTAACAAAATGAATGGAAAACGATAATTTAACAAATTCTGAGCATTTTATGCAAACTATAGAGAAGGGGATTTCATGGCAGATTAGAGAAGCCAACTCTTTGTAGCAGTGCAACCAACCATTTCCAAAACCATTAGGTTTCATAGTTGAATTTGTTACACCATCGATATTCTTGATCCAGAGTTTTGAAACTTCTTATCTCTAAGTGTCTGTTTCTTATGATTGATTCAAATTGGATCCCAAATTGAAAAACTTGGATGATGGTTATTTTGTATTAATTTGCAAATTTTGATCTTTTGATATGACAATGGAAAAGGAATTTTCATGAATATTTAGAGAGAATTCTTTGTAGTACTGTTATGTTATCACTGTTTTTTGATCCACAGTTTCTTATGTGACATTCGAAGAACACTATTATTGCAGTTAATTTTGTTGTTGCATGACTTGGTTTCTAGACCCATATTTTGCTGCTTTTTTTTTTTGGTCTCTGTGTGTCTGTTTGTGATGATTGATTTGAAACCCAATGGGGTATAGTTTCATATTTCAAAATCTGAAAGTCATGGGTGATAATCATTTTGTAAACTTTATGGAGCTCATTATCATCAAGGGTCTTGATCTATGATTCCAAATTTCTTGTGAAAAGTGAAAACCATTTGGTTTCAGAGTTGAAATTTGTTATCATCTGCTCTTGGTTTCCAGATCTAAAATTTTGAATGTTTTTCTTGTCTTCGAGTGTGGCTTTTTTTTTTTTTTTGATTAACCTGGATATCCAATCCGCTATGCGAGCCGATTAATCCCAGGGCGACCACCTGCTTTGCAGATTGCCCGGAGTCACTGCCTTTGAATCTCCGTGGCCATAAGGGGATTCTTATTTCTCCTTGGATTTGAACCTGTGTCCTCCTGGTACTTTTGACCTTTGGAGTCAAGCTCAAACCAATCAGGCACCACCCTTGTGGTTGTCTTTGAGTGTGTTTGTGTTTCTGTTGGTTGATTAGAGACAAAACAGAGAAGGGTACACAAAAAATCATGTGGCATAACCTTGGAAACGCCATGATGAAGAGTATACAAAATAGATAGCGAGTTCCTCTTCGAATTAACCGGGTCATCTAGGGACTAGGAACAAGGTCAAGGAGGCCTCAGACAGTGCTCAATTTTTTGTTTCTACCCTACCCCTCCGCCCTTACCCTTTCTGTAATTCCTATCTTATTTGGTTCTCAAACATCTCGTTTGGTTAACATCATCATTACTTAAATTGGTTTGTGATGAGCTACTAATCTGTAAGTTCGAGCTTGAACTTTAGGTTTCTGGAAAACTTTTGAAGTCAATTGATCTTCTTTCTTTAATCATAAATTTAAAAAACAAAGTATTAGGTTGGTGATGTCTTAGAGCAGACTATGTATGTTAAGCTTATAATATAAAGGTTCATTGATATTCCAGCATTAAACAGCACGTGTCGATTATGTCTCTAGTATCTGTTTGAAACTCGTGTTGCCTAGATCACCCACACGCCAACAGCAATATGCAAATCTTTGGGTGAAGTTGGGTATCCAATATGTCTTAGTTGATACTGAATTGGGGTTGACCTACTAATCTTGCATGAATGTTGCCTCTAACCAATGGGTAAATGCTGCTGCAGATGATGAGTGATGGAGATCTGGGATTCATGGCTAACTTTCTGGGCATATTCATATTTGCCCTGGTCATAGCATACCACTACGTGTTGGCTGACCCCAAGTACGAAGCCAACTAAAGATGAAGATGTTTTGCTATATCTAGTTGAACCCGGATAAATCCTTTGCATGGACCATGTAAAGTGACATTGTTATTTTGCTTGCTAGTCACTTATGCTTGGGATTTAAGCCTACCTTTAGATGATGCTATTTGTTACATAAAACAACATATGTTTTAGCAAATTTTGATTTGATATATTTGATCTGTTTTGATAACTTATCTGTTAATATACAGATAACTATATCCATATAGGTCTTAACAGAGAACAAACCGAACAGTCACTTAGACTCATCCATGACCAGCCACCATATCTTTGGATCTCAAGACAAAATGAGCCATTCATTCCAAACCAACCATTTTCATTTCATTTCAGAAGCAACAGACAACAATTAAGAGGAATTGAAAACCAGAATTATAAAAGAAAAAGAAAAATGACAAATGGAATTCAATTTTAGATGGATTCTTGGGATTTCCTGACACATCTCCCCACTTTCTTCCTGAAGTCGTCTCTTCTATCCCTCCATTCCTTCTGCACAGAAAACAATCTAATGTCTTAATAAAGAGTGATATTTGCTTTTGCTAATAAACAATCCTTAACAAGATCATTCAGCCCCTTAATTAAATATCTATATATTATTATTACCGCAGCTTCAACATTTGCAGGAGATTCATCATTAGGGCTTGAAAGCATCGATATAATGCTCAACACTATGCTCTCCACCTACACCAAACCAATTCCCAAACATCACTACTATTCTTGTTCAAGTTATTGGCAACAACACACAATCAATCAGTGTCACATACCGTATGAACAGGTGTCCAGCGCTCGCTTGCAAGCTCGTACCCGTTAGGATCATCACCAGGGGGATGAAGAATTGAAATACAAACCTTCCCATTAGGGTAAACTGTTACAACACCATAAAACATACCAAAATCACATTATATAGTTTCAGATCATAAACTCGTCGCAAACCAACCATTCTTCTCAAGGGCAATGGTCGGTTTGCAACAACAAGCCTGCTTCTAAAAGGCAATGATTGATCCAGCACACTAACCATTCGGATGCCAAACCTCTGATGTAAACCTGACCGTTGGAGGGCTGTTTGGATAATTTTGTGGGAAGGTCATTATAGCATTAAAGAAACCACCCTCACTGAAACAATGAACCCAAAACCATCAGTCAGAAACATAATAGTTTATCTACAGACAGTAACCAGTCAATTCCATTCATGATCCATAAATGGCTCAAATTCTGTAATTCATTGAGAAACTAATCAAAGTTCTCCCCCAAAAAATCCTTATAGTGATTGCCTTTGAGATTACTCAAACTCCATAAACCCCAAAGAATCACTTAGATTCATTTGCCACCAGGATCATAGTTCACAAAACCCACAAACCACAAATTGAAGTGTTCAATCAAAAGCAAAAGATTGCAATCTTAAAACAAAAAGGTCATGGAACAATTGATTAAAGAAATTTCAAACCAGTAATCCAAGATAATGAAGGATAATTGGATTATGATACCATATGAGTACTTAAACCCTCGAGAAACCCAATTAAATCAATGAAAAACAGACCAACAGATATACGAAGAAACTGTAACCACAAGAATTGGTAAACCCTATCATCCCCAATCTCATACAATTAAGTTGCTAAACTACAGATTAAGCATACAAATACAAAAGAATAACTCACTATAATGTATCGGGGGGCCCGATAACGGTGACACTCCATTCAAATAGATTACTTTCATTAACAAGACCCGCCGAGAATCCGTCAACAGGGTTTTTGCAGAGATCTGCAAAATAAGTCACGGATCATGAAGAGATGAATCAGGACAAGTTAAAGGTAAATCGAAATTAGAACCCTAGAAACAAAAGAACGGCGAGACCTTTGAGCTGTTTCTGGAGAAGAAGACTTGCTTGAGATGGAGAGCCCATGGATGGTTCTGGAGAGATGCAGGGCGAATTGAAGAAGAAGATTGGTGAAAGATAAACTGTCACAGTTCTCTAGAAAGCAAGCGTTCAGATGTGCATATAAAGGAGGAGAGGAATAGAGAGAGAAGAACCAAATTTGTCTTCTGATTCCAAAGTCCTTTTATCTCTATCTCCTCCTTATAAATATAATAGAGAGAGAGAGAGAGAGAGAGAGAGGGGGAGAGAGAGGGTTCTAAATTATTGTATTAACTTTGTTAACTATTTTCAATCAATCACGATCCATTTTAATACTGGTTTTTTATCCATCTTAGAATTAAATGACAAAAGTATATATGTAATTTTTTTTATGTAACTCCTATATTATTAATTGGGATTTACAAAATGATAAAATCTCATGATTTGTGTTAATTTATTATTAATATTGTTATTTTTTTAATATTGATTTTCTATCTATAATGTTTATGAATTTGTGTTTATGAATAATGATGAACATGTGTGACCATATGACACAAATTCACATATGAGAACATTCGTACAACCATATAAACACAACTTGACATTATGAACCATTGTGTCAATTACGAACACAAATTGACATATATGAACACTTGTGTCAATTAAAAAAACAGATTGAATTATGTACAGTTGGTATAAATATGAACACATATTGACCCAAATGAACATACGAAAGATGATGAATATGTGTGACCACATAAACGCAAATTCATATACATGAACATTCGTACAACCATATGAATACAACTCGACATATTTGAACCTTTGTGTTAATTACGAATACAAATTGATATATATGTACAGTTGGTATAAATATGAACACATATTGACACAAATGAACATACGAAAGATGATGAACATGTGTGACCATATGAATTTAAATTCACATATATGAATATTCGTACAACCATATGAACAGAACTCGACATATATGAACCCTTGTGTCAATTACGAACACAAAATTGACATATATGAACCCTTATGACAAATACAAACATAGATTGACATATATGCACACTTAAGTCATTTACGACTTTTTTCCATATACACCTATGTTCAAACATGAACAATTCACATAAATATCGAATAGTTGTTCACATATGAAACTATGAACAAGAAAAACCGTAGAAGAATCTGGTGTCGGGGATCTTGCTGTTGGTTTTGATTCGATGACGAGATTAATTCTCAGATAGTTACATTGTTATTAATGAGCAGTTACAAAACATCGCATTGTTATTAATGAGCGGTTATAAAACATCTCATTGTCATTAATGGATAACTAAAATCTTTTTCCAAAATACCCCTTATAAATATTGTTCACTTATGTTACCTTGTCTATGTGTGCAATCATTTACACTTTATGTCATGAATGACTTAGCCACAAATTTCAAAGATCAATGGTCAAGATTGGTTAACAAAGTTAATACAATAATTTGGTTAACAAATGAACTTGCCCCTATATATATATATATATATATATATATATATATATAAAGAGAGAGAGAGAGAGAGAGGTGATTTACTTTGCAAACCATGTTATTTGTACAAACCGCATTCAACCAGTCATAATTTTTCATTTTGTTATTTTTTTGTAATTATGAGAGGTTGATTAATCATTTATATTGTGGAGTGTGTTAATCATGGGTATTATCATCTTCATTATATTAATTTTAGAGAAATATATGAAACGATTTCATTAAAATTTCATAAGTATTATATGAAACAATTTCATAACCATATCTGAAACAACTTCATCAAAAAAATATTATATGAAATAATTTCGTAAGATTAAACAATTCCATGAAAAAATTTCATAAGATTAAATAATAAAATCGACGGATGATGGTGGTTTGCATGGTTTGTACAAATAACATGGTTTACATTTGATTGCTCCTCTCTCTCTCTCTCTCTCTCTCTCTCTATATATATATATATATATATATATATAGGTCTAATCAAATGAGAATTAATTAGTTTGTGGTAACTATAAGATCCAATGTGAGCCAATCATTTAAGATAATTAATATTATTCTTAATATGAAATAAAAGTATAAATTAGTAATTTGGGTTGATTATTCTATTTATTATAATTAGTTTAATATTTCGATTTACTTTAATTAAGTTAACTACTTTATTATATATACACACACACACACACACACACACACACACACACACACACACACACACACATAGGGATCAAAATCCGGTGGCCTCCTCTGCCAAATGATGACTTCCTCCAATCATCTTGTTCAACCAAGATGCCGTTTCCGACGACCTTCTCCCTTCCCCTATCCCCGCTACAGACCACCATATACATCGACACTCCCCCTCAAACGCCCTCATCGAGTGATACAGCAGTGGTATTACAGTTGGTATCACAATGGTACCACAGTTGGTATCATAGTGGTTTGAAGTTTACTTAGTGTGTTTTAGATATCACATTGTATATGTTTTGGATATCACATTGTGTATCTTGATATATTTTAGGTATCACATGATGTTCGCCGAAATAAGGTTTACCAGAGGCCCGATGCAGGAGAGAGAGACAGAGGAGAGATAAAAAAATTTAAATACCTAAAATGCCATTTAGTTAAAAATTTAAGTCAAATTACAAAAAATACTAGTTCCTAATTTATCCATTGATTTGTGATTGAGATTGAATCTCACAGTTATCACAAACTAACCAGTTCTCCCTTGAATGGACCCCTATATATATATATATGTATGTATGTATGAGATCATTTAAGGAAGAACTGGTTAGTTTGTGATAAATGTGAGATCCAATCTCAACCACAAATCAATGGTTAAATTAGGAAACTAATGATTATGGTCATTTGACTTAAAATTCTAATTAAAGGGCATTTTAGGTATTTTAAAAATCTTATATATCCTCTCTCCTCTCTTCGTTGAACTTTATTCCGGTAAACACATGATGCACATTGTGATACGCTTCATATAACGGAAAAACACAGTGTGATACACTTAGTAAAACAACATTACCTGATATATTGTGTTACACTTTATAAAACAACAAAAATATATTGTGATACACTTCGTATAACGGCGAAAATACACTGTGATACACATTATGATACTAGATATGGTTGATGAATACAATTGTGATACCACTATGATACCAGATCTGGTTGATAAATACAATTATGATACCACTATGATACCAGATCTGGTTGATGAATACAATTGTGATACCACTTTGATACCATTGAGTTACCACTGTATTATACCCGACGTTACATCTTCAAAGAGATCTAGGTTACATCCAAAAACTTTACATCTTTTGCGTTACATCTCCGACGATATATGAGTTACATCTCCGACAAGATATGGGTTACGTGCCCGATTTGAAATGAGATCTGAACAAAAACCAGAAACTGAAATCGATCTGGGTGTGCAGAAACAAGATTTCTTGGGATATGAAAAACCGAAACCGATCTGGGTTGTTCAACAAGGAGGAATCGGATCGGTGAAGTTGAGAGTTAAGGATATTATGGCCGATGGTTGGAGATGGGTAAAGACTAAGAAGCAGCGGTGGCCGGTGGCCGGAGATGGGCGGAGAAGGAGGCATCAGATGGTGTTTGGCAAAGGGGTCGATGTAAAGTGTTGCACCGGAGAAGAAGCACGTTTTGGCCGGCGATGGGAAAAAGGGTCACGGGTGGTGATCTCGTCCATTCTTTTATATATATATAGTTCGTTTCAAGTACAACCCATCGCATTTGTACAACCAATGCAACCCAAAAAATTGAGATATTTATGGAAATGATGAGAGTTCATTTATTATGATTTGAATATTTATGAAAGATGAATATGATTTATTAATTATGATCAATACTTTATATTAGGAAATAATCAAAACTTCTATGAAATCACATATTAATCAAATGAAATGGACGGTTGAGATTGGGTTGTATTGATTGCACAAATGTCATGGGTTGTATAACAACCAATCTCTCTCTCTCTCTCTCTCTCTATATATATATATATATATATATATATATATATATATATATATATGGGTCTATTCAAGGGAGAACCGATTAGTTTGTGATAAATGTGAGATCCAATCTCAACTACAAATTAATGGATAAATTAGGAAACTAATATTTTTGGTAATTTGACTTAAAATTATAATCAAAGGGCATTTTAGGTATTTCAATTTTTTTAATCTCTCCCCTCTCTCCTACCTTCAGCCTCGGACGAACACTATGTGATACCCAAAATACACCAAGATACACAATGTGATACCCAAAATACATACAATGTCACACCAAGTAAACTTTGAGACCACTATGATACCAATTGTGGCACCATTGTGATACTAACTGTGGTACCACTGTGATACCAACTGTGGCGGGATGGAGGAAGGGAAATAGGTAGTGAAGGGGTCACAAGGACAAAGATGGCGCTAACTGTCAAGAATGCTCACAGGTGGGTGTTTAGTGGTTGATCATCGAAAACGACGTTTTGGTCAAACAAGATGACCGGAGGAGGTCAACGGAGTGTGGTGGGTGCCCGAGAAGGCCACCAGATTTGGTCCCTATGTGTCCGTATGTGTATATATATATACATATATTGAAATAATTAAACTAATTAAAGTATGAATATTAAACTAATTAAGGTAAACTGAATAATCAACACAATTTTCCTTTGTTTTATTTTAGTAAATAACATTAATTATCTAAAATGTTTGGCTCATATTAAATCTCATAGTTACCACAAACTATATAGTTCTCATTTGATTAGGTCTTATATATACATATATCTATTTCAAAACTAGAATATTAAACTAATTAAAGTAAAGTGAATACTCAACACAAATTACTAATTTACTAATTATCCTGAATGATTGGTTCATGTTGGATCTCATGGTTACCGCTAAGTAAACAGTTCTCAATTTAATTACGCCCCTATATATAGGGTTGGGTTAATGTGAGACCTGCATGTTTTTGTGAGACCCATGATATCACTTTTTTACACTTGAAACTTCACAGCATTTTGAAGGTAAAAAAAAATCCGAACCTTCATAGCAAAAACACTGTGAATGTTACCTTTACAATGTTTTGCTGTGAAGTTTTAAATGTAAAGAAGTGGTCTCACGGATCTCACGAAAACAAA